GGACAGTGGTTTTGGAGGATGTTCATATGTTAGAGTGCTTGGGCAGTCCTCAGTGTGCTTTCCATCTGTTATGCTACTCATATGATAGAGTGCAGTCGATAGTGGTCTTAAGTGTGCCTCTGTTCAGTTGTTCATCTGCTAGTAATCAGGAGTGATGCATCAGAAATGGAATGCTGCTCTGTTGGGTGCTGAGAAGTGATGTATTACCTCATGGCACTGTCCTAAGGCAGCATACAATAGCTGTTGAATGATTCTAGTGTTGCTAAGAGATTGCAGTTATTCTTGGATATAAATTGCTTGGTAGAGTGCATAGCTACAGTGGAGTTCTGGTGTGGATGCTCTGTTGTTGGATGCATAAAGTCTGGTTGATGCTTTGGGAGAGTATATGTTTGCTTGTTCTTTCTCTGTAGGCTGGGTGGTGTTTAGTTTGCTACTGCTGCTGCCAGCTAAGTGGGTCTGTTATTGGTCTGTTGGTTTTTTTGTTGTTCTCTTCTGTGTTTCTATTCTTCTTGGGTTTGGTTCCTCACCAAACTCCTGGGGTGAGCTAGCTTGCTGCTTTTCCCCTCCTTTTTTGATGTAATCTCTGGTTTTGTTTGGTTTTTGCATCAATAAAGGTTCTCTTTTGCTGATAAAAAAAAAAAAAATGTAATAATCAGAGAACAGACAAATAACCAAGATTCCATTGATAACATTGATGCTAGCTACCCTTGCTTCAATAAGTGCATCAGTAGTCCCTGTTGTGTTGTATCATAGTTGTCAATTCAAGAATGGTATCACGAATCAAAATCCTAATTGTGCGAATTGTGAATCAAATTGAATCAAGAATCATAATAATTTCATTTTCTCATTTGCTTTTCTTTCTTTATTTTTTTATTCTAAACTATTCATGTAGCAAATATGAGTTAGCATAATAAAAAATGATGTTAGACAATTTTATATGGGGGAAAAAATATTTTGGCACAACTTACAGTTCTCTAAAAGCTATGAAGCACCAACATCTCTCAAGAGGTCGCATATAGGTATCTGACACACGTCGGACACGGACACGCGTTGGACACGCTAAGACACTAGGACATGCCATGGACATGCTGACAACACGCTAGGGACATGTTGAGGACACACTAGGGACATGTTAGGTACATGTTGAGAGTTATTTTTTTTACTAAAATAGCATACCTAAGATTGATAAATATAAAGTTAAATATTTGACATAAAATACATATTAAATATTTAAAAATACAAATATAATAAAAATATATGTTTTGAACGTATCCCTAACGTGTGGTGTCCTGCATTTTTTGAAAATTACATGCCCGCGTGTCCGTGTCTGTGTTCGTGTTCGTGCCTCTTAGTATAAAAGTGAGAATACCATCTAATTTGGAAGATACTACCTTCATAAAGAGAGATGAGGGTCTAAACCCCACCAACAATAAAATTATTTAAAAACCATAATTTATTGGGAAACTACACTTTACCCCCTCAGCTATGGGCCGTTATCAATTCACATCCCTTAACTAAACATTGTTACAACTATGTGATTATTAGAAAAGTTATGCGAAGAAAACAGTTAAAGAGTCCAACATTAAAAATATTATAGAAATGTAAGCAACAGAAACACCAAAATAGTGCTTCAATAAAGAAAACATAGTTAAATAATGCTTGTCTGCATGAGTAAATATGCATCATTATATAACTAACAACAATAAGGTTCAAAAGTTAGACAGAACATGCTAATGAAGTCCAGGCTTGAAAAGGTACAAATGTAATACAAATGTAAAAATCAGCACATGAAGAACAAGCCTATCAGAAGACAGTATTTGAAGGATGCATTGGTTTGAGGCAAGCCACGAAGTGATAAATTTACCAAGTAATCACATTAGAAACAGTCACAAATTTGTCAGAGTTCATTTGTCATATATAATTAAAGAAAAAGAGAAATTATAAGAGATGCACCTATATAAATTTCAAAACACTCAATTAATAGGAAAAACTATTGAAAACCAAACAATTAAAAAAATATGAAATAATAAAGAAAATACTAAACAAAAAATTGTGAGACAGCAATTAGAACTACGAAAATCAATAAGAATACACACAATTACCAAGTAATCAAATTAAAAAGTCACTGATAAATTTGCAGCAGTTCATTTATCATGTAATTAAGGAAAAAGAGTAAGAAAAATGCACCAATATAAATTTTAATACTATCATTTAAAACAAAACAAAAAATATCGAAACACAACAAAATGTGCAAAATTTAATTAGAAACTAAGGTTATAATTTTGATTACAAAGAAATCTTAGAAAAAAAAAATAGTCTCAATGGAGACCACGAGAAAGAGAAGTCGTTTTTACTAATCTCAAGCATTGAGATCCAAAACTTGCAAATTCTTTTGTAAAGATATCCTAGCAAACAAACAAACCAAAAGACAAAGAAAAATCAAACAATAAATAATATACTTATCAAAAGAAAACAAAACTATTTAAAAAAATTTATGAAATAATAAAATTTTTTTTAAGAGTAATGCTGCCACCCTTAAAACCTTTTTTATATCACCTTTACTGTACCACCTTATGTGTTAGCACCTACATTGGAGATAGACATGAGTGGCAGGGCCCATTACACCAATGGCGTGTTGACACATGAGATGGTATAGTAAAAGTCACATAAAAAGGTGGTAAGTGTAGCATTGAGATTCAAAAGTTTAGAACTCTTCTCTTACGATTTCCTGGCAAACAAACAAACCAAAAGACAAAGGAAAATCAAGCAATAAATAATACATTTACCAAAAGAAAACCAAACTGTTTTCAAAATTTTATGAAGTAATAAAGAAAATATTAAACAAAAAAATTGTGAGAAAGTTATAAGAACTACGAAAATCAATAAGAATATACAAAATTACCCAATAATCAAATTAAAAGCCATCATTGATATTTTTGCAACACTTCATTTGATTAAGGAAAAAGAGAAATTGAAAAAAAATGCACCTATATAAATTTCAATACTATCAATTAAAACAAAAAATATCGAAATACAAAACAAAATATGAAAAATTTAATTAGAAACTAAGATTATAAATTTGATTGCAAAGAAATCTTAGAGAGAAACTTAGTCTTAATGGAGACAGTGAGGTCCGTTTTAACTAATCTCAAGCATTTGAGAACCAAAAGTCACAAATTCTTTTCTCAAGATGTCCTAACAAACAAACCAAAAGACAGAAAAATCAAGCACTTTATCAAAAGAATACCAAACTATCTAAGAAAATTTACAAAATAATCAAGAAAAATACTATACAAAATTTGTAAAACAAGAATGAATTACAAAAATCAAGAAAAAATAAAAAATTACTAAGTAATCAAATTTAAAACTGACACTAATAAATTTGCTACAGTTCGTATTGTACCAAATTATAAAACCATCACCTATAAATTTGCAACAATTCATATGTCATATAATTAAAAAAAAATGGAAGAAAGATACCTATACTATCAATTAAAAAAAAAAAAAAAAAAAAAAAATGTCGAAAAACGAAACAAAATATGGGGAGGTTAATTAGAAACTAAAACTACAATTTTGATTGCAAAGAAATTTATGAGAGGAAGTTAGGCTCAATGGAGCCTACCAAAAAGAGAGGTCGCTTTTTCTAATCTGAAACATTCTGATCCAACTAGTATTGTTGACCCATCGTGCATTGCACAATTGTAGGTGCCAATGGTGATTAGGAAGTGATAATTTATATACAACAACAAAAAAAAAAAAAAAAAAAAAAAAAAAAAATCCAAAATATAAGGTTAACAAAGGTACTCAGAGAGCTTCGACAACTATTAAAAGATTTGAATTAATATACAACAAAACCAACTGCATAGTCTCTATTTGTTCTTGAATCAAACAATTAAACAAATTTATGCATAATCTTTAACGGAAAATTTATAACTCTAATTACACGAACAAGAAATTTGGAATAACGTCATGTACAAAATCATCAAAGGTTGCCAAGTATGAAACATCTACATACATGTGTAAACTTTCTGAAATAGAAGGAGTCAATGCAAACTATGATTGCTTGTTGGTCTATATTTGAAGATATGAAGAACAAAGTGCTTGGCACTCCAAATCTTTACAAACTTAGAGAATTTCCATTATACGAACACCACTCACTGTTGTAGTAGCTCGTTAACCGAATGGATGCCTATTGTAATTATCATAGTCAAAGTAAGTGGCAATGGTTTGGCAGAAGAGAACATCTAATTAATGGATTTGTATGACAGCATGATGCTGCTTTTAATAAATCCTAATTATAGCCAAACACACATTTCAAGGACTTCATCCTCTTCCGTAGCATGTGTGTTACTGAGTAGGAAACTGAAATCACATCAATTCTAATTATGAACACTATGCACACATATACTCATGTAGTCTACTCAGACACAGAACTTAAAGTAATTTTACATGTACTTGTATGTATATCAAATCATTTAGTTAATAAAGAAAAAAGAAACCTGCTGCACATAAATTAGAGCCAGAACAAATAAAATGTTGTTATTAATTACATATGAGCACAATCCATAGACAGCCCCATGCCCAACATGACAAACACCAAACGAAGCGAAAACACACTGACAAATAAACATTTGGCCTTTATTATGCTACCAACAAAAAAGATGAACAGCATTTCAAAGAGATAACTGCCTCAACTGTTATGCTTCAGACATAATGAACACAGCAAAATGATTGTATGAGAAAAGGCATGATGGATACAAAGAATTTTCACTTTTTTCAAGGACAAAATGCCCATAAAGACGAAAGTCCAATTGTGGGAAAATTTTACATTTATATGTGCAGCCATGCAGACCAGTTGACTGGGTAAAGCCCAAAAAAATCTAATTTAAAGCCTCCAAATTCTTTCCTTTAATATAAATAAATAAAAATTTTGTTTAATTATTTTTCTGCTACATACTAAATGAGCAAGCTAACAAAACAAACAATTACAACAAATATACCTTCAACCAGAGAAATGCAGAGCAGACTTCTCTTGTTTATGCAATGGAGTGATCTGCACAATAGAAGAGGATGTGAAATGAAGAACATGTTTAAAAGATATATACCTAGAAAGCAGAATCCCATGTCTAAGAAGCCAAAAAAACAAACCTTAAGCCAGAGAAATGCAGAGTAGGCAACAAATCTTCTTTTCTCATACAATAAACTGGTCTACATAGGCAAAGACGACATGAAAGGAAGAAAATGTTAATGAAATTTATTTAAAAGCAAAAAAGGGGGGTCACCTTGCCTTCAAAATAAAAAAAAGAAAACACATTGCACAAACAAAAGTAATAAACAGTATATTAAATCAGCCACATGAAAAGGCTCGCTGGCCCATTTCTCCACCAGCAGCAGCTACCACTATCCTCCCCCAGTCATCCCTAAGCTTACCACTTGTTTTCCATGACCAGCATCTCTTGGTCCACAACAACAATTGTGATCCCCTCACAAACCCCTATCTCCTCCACCTCCATGACTGCCACCAGTCTCACTACTGCAACCATCTGACCTCCCCTTCAAATTCCAACCCAAATGTGATCCACAGTGACCATGTATGGTATGACCTCTAATTCATGGCAACAATAGCTCAAAACTAAGCATTATAGAGCAACCTTCTTTCCTTTAAATCCACTAGGGGAGAAAATTTACAAATTATAGAAATAAAAAACACTATTCACAATACCACAAACCTGGAATATGGAGGATTCTTGACTTCACCAACCTTGTCTTTTGGAAAGCATCTGCGTTCTTACCTATTTCCATTTGTTTGCATTACTTGAAAAATTAAATAAGTAGACAAATAGAATCAACATAATCAGCATCAAAGAATAATAATTTCTAATTCATTAACTATGAACATATAAACTAAGCAAAAATAAGCAAGTTTATCTACAGTTTGCCTCTTGAAAGGATGTCTCATAATTCATATACTGTTCTAGCCTTGTCAATCTGTAGTTTTTCCTTGTTACAACAGATCTTTCCCAAAAACTACCCTGAAACTCAAAAGGGTGAGGAGGAAAAAAAAAAAAAAAAAACTTAATTTAGTGAGTACGGAAAAACAGTAACTATTGTTTGATGTTCCAATCTAATATGAACAAACAAATAGTTAAGTAGTCCCCAAGTTGCAACAATAATATTGCAATAAAAATGGTCGGGAGTGAGAAACAAAATAAATCATATCATAATCATAAAGGTCCATTTCACCACCATTGCTTCTATAGTAGTCTTTAAGTCAAAACCCCCCAATAACCATTGAAAACAATCAATGACCATTGTGTAAAAATACCCATTAAGCAAAGTTTCATGCATGTATCCAATCCAACATCCAAACAGTGACAGTTACAACTAGTAACACCCACCGATTGCATACTAAAAAGATCGAAAAGCAACACAAAAAATGTAACACCCCGACCCTTTACACGTCATCGATATTGTCCGCTTTAGGTCACGCCCGCACGGATTTGTTCTTCCCAGTGGGTCACCCATCCTAGAACTACTCCAGCCTAAGCACGCTTAACTGGGGAGTTCTAATAGGGATTTCACCACTTGGGAAAAGGCCTCGATGCTATATAAGGGTCCAGGTTTTTACTTTTATAACCCAGGAACTCCCCCTCCATTCCCGATGTGGGACACCGGGGCCTTACAATAAATAACAAAAGGAAACAATGCGGCAAAAGATGTATCACCTGTGTGGCCATTGTTTCACGCCATGTTTTGTTTCTAAATTTTGACACTTTTGTTTGGATTTCTGCTGAGAGGCTTTCGATGTCCAATCCAATCGAAGAGTGAATCGATTCTTCTGGTATCAAATTCGACTACCACGAACTTGTTCTTGCCCTCATAGGCTTCCCAATAGCCCTGTTTGGTAGAGCTGTGGGAAAGTGCTTATAGCTTATGCCTAAACAGCTTATAGCTTATAACTATGAACATAAGCTGATTTCTGACTTATAAATTAAGCATATCCTGCCCCACTCAAAGAATAAGCTGATTTCTGACTTCCAAGAAGCTATAAGCTATAAGCTATAAGCTAAACCAAGCACATCAAAATAGCTTAAATTAAGCTAAAAGCTGAAATAAGCTGCTTTTAAGTTCTGCCAAATAGGCACAATGTTAGGTTGTGGATAGAAATAAAGCCGGACAATCTCGAAAACGATAATGGTTTAAAAGTAAAGGCCAATTTTTTTTATTTTTTTTAGAACTTATTTCAGACATAAAAATTAAAATTAAGAAGCCAATTTTTAATTATCTTTTCAAACATTCCTGAAAACATAGAGAGGAGACGCGTGTGATGAATAGGGATGGCAATTTGAACCCGGCCCGACGGGGACCCGACCCCTCGACCCCGATCAGAATTGTCACACCCCAAATCCGGGTATGACCGGCCGTGGCCCACAGGGACTCAGCCCAAGGCACACGTAAGCCTAACCACTAATCTATAATCACATTGAGCAACTATACAAAAGTCCAGTAATAAATAACCAAACTCAATCCAGTGACATGCCACAAGTATAAACGGAAAAACCAACCGTAATCAAAACCATCTAAACTTATGGGATATAAACAACCCACATATCAAAATAATCCTAAATGAATCTCAATAAAAATAAAAAGAAATATGCACAAATTTGACATAACAATCTAAAACAAAATAAATGAATGTCCTAGAGGTCCATGCAATCGAGTCCCCGCTATGCCATGAGTCCACTCTAAGTCCTTCTAACACCTGGAAGTGATAAAAACTAAGTCAGCTGATAGCTCAGTGAGTAGCAACATGGATAGTAAATACAGTTTTGAAAACAGGGTTCAATTCCAAAATAAGATATATATCACAGAAACTAGATTGGCATACAGTTTCGTAAATACAATATGTTTCAAAAAGAAGGTTCCACAGTTCAACACTTAAAATACTCATGTCTCGCAAGAACATGACAAACGATATTTTCCACTTAGAACAGATTATAACATGAACAGCAATAATTTTCTGGGTACCAATAAAAACAAATAATCTGCCACACATTTCTCAAGGCTATAAGTCCCGTTGGATCCAATATCGAACTAAGAGTCATCCTCAGGGTGGCACCTGGGCCTTTTCTCAAAGACGATCCGATTGAAGGTCACCTAGTTGTTTTTAAAGGTCTTTTCCTTACAATCGTTGAGCACTAGAGTCATCACGGCCCAACCCGGATCTGTTCCTTAGTGGCCAGAGTCACCACACACAGTGGAATAATTTCCCTGGACTAAATACACACATGGTCCCAATAATCAATACACATCAGTTTTGCAAAACATGGTAGTTCATCATTATAAACATGAGACCAAAACAAATATTTTACAGTATGCCAAGTTCACACATGTTTCAGAAATAATTTGATTCAATTGATAATACAATAATTTATCAAAACAGTTTAGTCTTGAAACAACAATTTAATTTTACAACAGTTCAGGGTAGGGGAACATTTATAAAAATACGTAGCATGAAACTACTCACCTGAAAACGAAATAATATAATCCTCGAATAGAGTGTAAAAGTCCAACCAGTGCCCTGAACCAAGTATAAAAACTACACGTCACAACTAATTTAAAAATACTAAAAAAAATAGGAACTAAGTAACCTCAAACTAAAGCGCACTAACACGGCTCAACCCAACTCACCGTTACTCTTAAATATTACCTAAGTTCATATTCTTCAAGATCTAAAATCACCCAAGACATAGATTCCGATCGAAACTTATCTAAAAATAACTTTAAGATGAAACAGTGTTTTAAACAAGTTTTTCCAATCTATTCGCTAATTTTGAAAGTTACAAAACCCACTCCACGCTATTCAAAAAATTCCAATAACCTCCAGATATGATCTAATATATCCTAAGTTTCAAACCCAATTGGTTTCACTTGATTTGCTTATCAGAATAATTTTCTACAATTTATTATATCCAAACAGGTTGTTTTCTGCAGCACTTTAAAGAAATTGACGGTTCTCTTAATATACACGAGCAATCAATGCAAGGCCAAAAACGTACGAAACTAGACTCGTAACCGGTTCTAATGACACTAATTTGATAATTTTTGGATTTATACCCAAAGAGAACAACACTCCCGAATTTACTGTTTCGGACTGGTTTCCTGGACAGATTTGGATACCTCAATTTATATGAAGTTTGACTCCCAAAAATTATAAAAAATTTCAGATATACAATTCAATATGTAATTGATCTACTGTAAAAATTTCAGATTAAAATTCATCCGTTTGATATGGTTTCTTGATTTTTAAAGTTTGCGACTATGTGCAGAATTTTTGGACTAAGATTCACACCGATTCTTTATATATGAATTTAACTCCTTAGATTCCTTAACAATATACATATATACAAAATACATAAATCTACAACCTCTCCATCAATGAACTAAATAATAATAGAGTAAGGATAAAGAACAAAAACAAAGAAAAGAAGAAAGATGAAGACCTACCACACCCAAAAATTACTCCTTGTTTGCAATCCCCCCCCTTTTTTTTTTCTTCTTTTCTCTCAACTTCTTTCTCCCCGTGGCTGCTGCTATAGAATGTATTAGGAACCTAAGGTTTTTCTTTTCTTTTCTTTTCTTTTCTTTGTTATACATAACATAAATGACTCTAGATAAAAATGCCCTTTGTTTTATTTTATTTATTTATTTATTTTAAATAATAAATCTTGCCTTTAAATTGAAAACTTTCATCATAAATTTATTTTAGGTTTTAAAATTAATTACAAGACCCTCCAAATATTTAATTTGCACTTTAGGATTCACCATCAAAATATTTGAGATTGTAATATTATTATTGTTATTATTTAATTATTTACTTAATTTTTATATTTAGGTTCTCACATTCTCCCCCACTAAAAAAAAGTTTCGTCCTTGAAACTAACCTGAGTAAATCATGAGAATAGATGTGGGTACTTCTCGCGCATCTCGTACTCGCATTCCTAAGTCGTCTCTTCAACTAGATGATTACGCCACAGTACCTTAACCAATTTAATGACCTTTGTACGCAACCTTTTCTCTTTCGAATCCAAAATCTGAACAGGTATCTCCTCATACGAAAAATCCTCTCTAATCTGAAGCGGCTCGTAATCTATCACATGCGACGGACTGTGCACATATTTCCTCAGCATAGACACGTGAAACACATTATGCACTCCTGCCAACCTAGGGGGTAAAACAACACGGTACACAACCTCACTAACCTTCTCTAATACCTCAAATGGTCTAATGTATCTAAAACTCAACTTTCCTTCCTTTCCAAACCTGATGACTCCTTTCCATGGTGATACTTTCTAGAATACCATATCCCCCACATGAAACTCTAAATCTCTCCTACGATGATCAGCATAACTTTTTTGTTTAGTCTGAGCAGTCAATAATCTCTCTCTAATGGTGATAATTTTCTATGTAGCATCCTCTACCAAATCAAGTCCCAACATTTGCCTCTTACCAACCTCATACCAGCACAAAGGAGACCTACACTTCCTCACATACAAAGCCTCATAAGGAGTTACTCCCAAACTAGAATGATAACTATTATTATACGCAAACTCCATAAGCGGCAAATAATCATCCCAATTACCTCTCCACTCCAAAGCACAAGCCCTCAACATATCCTCAAGGGTTTGAATAGTCCTCTCCGATTGCCCATCTGTCTGAGGGTGATAAACTGAACTAAAATTTAACCGAGTACCCATAGCTGATTGTAACGCACCCCAAAACTTAGACACAAAACGAGGGTCCCGATCTGACACTATTGACACTGGTGCACCATGCAATCTAACAATCTCCTTTACATACAACTGTGCAAATCGAGCTAGAGAATAGGTCATCCGTACTGCAATAAAATGTGCTGACTTGGTTAATCTATCAACAATAACCCAAACTGCATCGTGATTACTACTAGTACAAGGTAAACCACACACAAAGTCCATGGTATCATGATCCCACTTCCACTCTGGTATAGGTAAGGGTTGTAGTTTCCCCACAGGTTTCTAATATTCTACTTTAACTTGTTGACACACCAAACACTGAGCCACAAATTCTGCAATATCTCCCTTTATACCATTCCACCAAAAATGTTCATAAAGATCCCGATACATCTTAGTACTTCCAAGATGAATGCTATAACTATAACTAGAACTATGTGCCTCTACCATAATCTCCTTCCTCAAATCACCACCAACAGAAACACAAATTCGGCTACAGAATCTAAGCAACCCGTCATCACTAACCACAAAATCTACATACTTACCCTCTGCCAACTCCCCTTTAATACGCTCACACTGGGGGTCAATCTCCTGAGCTAAACGAATCCATTCTCTCAAGGTCGGCTGAACTGTCAATTGACTACAATAAATCCTA